TGAAGGCTTGGAAGCCGCGGAGTGTCATTTGGGACGCTCTTAATGGGATTGCCTTTGAAGACAAAAGTGTGTAGCTGCGGGGTGTGATGTAGAAATTGACAGATGGCAGTGTCTGTGGCCGCCCAATTTCCGAACATTTGTACACAGCGCAATGAGAGCGAGCACCCCGATGTAATCGCCTCGGCTATGCTATACAACCACTCGCTCAGCTCGGTGCCGAAGGGATCGGGGACCAGATCCAGAGTCAAGACGGACAAGCGAGAAGTGAGGCGGATGAGACTTGCGTATTCGGGATCCAGTGTACAACCTGCCCACGAGATATATATGACGAGACGACGGATGTGCCGAGCAAGAGTCGGGTTGTCGGTGAGCGTACGGTTCAGGCTTGTTGCCACGTGAGGCCAGTAGTTGACGAAGATGCACGTGTAGAGTGCTTCTTGAGCAGGCCCGTGCCAGAGCTTGGCAACAAGAGATAAAGCATGAAGACTTCTCCTCGATTCCTTCAAGTATTGCCTATGATCATGGGTGTAGACGTATAATGATGCGGGTTTGGGATGATCATAGGAGTCGGGCACTTCTGTCTGCAGTGCATAATCGGGGAGCAATGATAGTGCTATATGAAGAAGGAGCTCGGAAGGCAGACGTGCCACAGGTAGCAGCGAGTTTTTCATGGTGCGGAAGGAGGAGAGAACCTTCTCGATGACCTGCACGTCCTGAACAATGTGGTCCCGCACCCGGGCTCGAAGTTTGGTATCCGCATATTCTGCAAGTTGAGAGTACTCCATCAGTCGCGATTGCGTCGTGTCAATCAGAGGTAGACTGGATTGGAGAAGCGTAGATGGTATACTTGAAAAATAACATTGGCTCAGGGGCTGAAAGGGCGAATGAGGAATGAGGCGCACCTGTCGGAGGCCGCCATCTCACTAATACTGTGGTTGATGAGGTATAATTCTTGAGAGAGAGCGGAAAGGCAGATATTCTGTTTGCAGAGGACTGGCCGGAATGCTGTTAACGACAAGAAACAATGAAAGGCAGATGAGTGGCACTGAGACAGGACAAGTTCTTCTACTCATGTTTCAGATCACGTGCCTCGAGCTTCAAGCGTGCCACCGTGGCGTTTGGGCGTCGCGAGCCACGGGTGCCGGGCATAAGGTAGATCGGATTTATGCGCGACCTCGCCTCCGCTCTGCCCCTCGCATTGACTACGAGCAGAGGAAACCTTGCAACGGGCAGATTCCTTGCTACCCGGTATATACAGCACCATATTGTGCACACAGACACCGAGGACGAGAGGTTGCTTCAGGGACTACCTGAGAAAGCGCAGGAAAAGCGCGGAAGGTACTGCCGTCAGAACAACTCGGAGTATTCGCCAACAGGACAAGTCTATGGCTAGCCACGTCTGCACGGCTGAGCGAGTTTCTGAAGCATCCCGAACGCCGATGAGAGGTTTCTGGAAGCCACACTGAGAAGCACCTCCCAAAAAGGACATGATTATGAACCCAAGACTGGTTGCGCGTAAGCAGCTTGGGCGGATGGCAAGTCGTGGGGCCATAGCTTGCTTTCGAGATTCTCCCTTTCTAAATAAGATGCCACGCAGCATTTTCTGCACCGGATCAGACATTCTCTCATAACAGAAAATTCCTTTACCCACAAAGATTCGGCAAGTCAATCTCGTAATGTTGCTGTGCAGTGCACATGTAAACAGTAACAGCCCTGCAGGTGCGTCACCAAAAGGATCCTCCACTACGCTTCAGGGCTGGATGGACGTGATGTGGAATGGGAGCTGGGTCGCGTATAACTCATGTGCCCTTGCGTGATCACACGGATACAACGATTCTCAGCCCTGCATACACGCGCGCTAGCCAATCAAAGCGCAGGGTGCTTCGGCAACATGGCTGTCGAGCATCACGTGGCGTCGTTCTCGTACGAGCCCCAAGGATTAGGGAAGTCGCCAAAATAGCGCCGCCGCCGGTCTCAAGGACGATCGTCGTCTAGAGGCGCGAGCGACGGGATATCTTGCACGACTCCCGCTAGGCCAACGGAAGCTGCGCGCGAGTTCGTGGGTGGGACGTCCAAAGAGCTCCACAATTGCACGCACGCCCATCCCTGCTGTCAAAGGTGAGAATCGCAGTGGGTGCCGGGGCATCAGGATAGGGAGGCCGACTCGGGATGACGGAGAGACAGGGCGGGCAGTTCAGGGAAGGCGTGGAGAACGACGGGAGGTTTGAGGGATGCGCAGGCGACGGGAGGAGCAAAGCTGACATGGCGGAACGGCGGAACCGTGCTGACCCACAGGTCAACAAACTGTACAGGAAGTACGGAACGGTCCGGAAGCTCGAGCGTCGCACGTGGGCGCAATGTAGATGACCCGTGTCCGCAGGAGCGCCGATGGTGGCGTTACGCGGCCTGCGTCCTTGCGTTCTACCTGCACTATATCGGCATGCAATGGGATTTCTTCGCCTCGAGACCGCCACGGTGCAGAATTGGCTCATTTCCGGAAGCAGGGGTGAATGGCTGGAGAAGGGCCTGGCGCGCGCGCAGACGCCACCGCCCAATCGCCTCCTTCCTTTACAGGCACCCAGCCGTAATCTGAATCGCCTGGCGCGATGAGGTTGGGCAAGAACGCGCGCGCTGAGTATGGTTCTATGGTCGGAGAACGTTAATGAACGGTGCAGGCGCGCAGTAGCCTCGCGTTTGCAAATGTCAGCACTGTTGCCGAGCATGGTAACCAAGGTTTCGGGCATCCCTGTAGGCGGAGCAAAGCCAAGGTTCGCGCGACATCGGTAGCTGCGAATCTTACTATGATGCCTATCCGCATCGGCAGACCAGAGCGCAACCAGAGCGATGTCCAGGTCGACCCTTGTAGGCGGCGGCGACGGCGGCACTGAGGCTGTACGGCGGCGTAATGGTCGGAACACGCCTGGGTAGCAATGGCTTGGTTCTGGGGAGATCGGGACGAGGCGGGGGAACGGTCGAATGGAAGCGTCCGGGAACGCGTCTGGCTCCGACGAGCGGCGAGGCTAGACTGCGGTGGACTTGTCGATGTGCCCATGCAGGCCGGTGCATCAAGAGCGGCGTTCCGACGCTGTTGGACGTCCGCTCAAGAAACTACGAATGGAATAACTTGGCTGCCAGATGACTTTGGTGGCTGGTGCGCCCCCCGTCCGCCGATATTTTTTGGTATTGTGACTGAGGCCGAGAGCAGGGCAATGGGGAGAAGGACGCGGCGCGATAAGGCGAATTAGCGGAGAACACGCGGCGGGAGCGTGGCTGTGCTGGGCAACAACCGTTCCAGGCGAGGTGATTGGTTCTTTTGTTCCCGGATACATAAAACCGATCGCATTCGTCGTTGTCCTTCCCCGGATTAAGTCCAGGACCCTCCGCCACCGACACCTCACGAACGTCCTAGCCTAGCTATCCTTCCTTTGCCACCACTACTGTCACATCATGCAGCGCCAGCCATCTTACAAGCAGCTTGCCCGTGCCTCACCTCGCGAGCGCACCATTACCTCCGTCGTATCTCGCCCAATCCCTAACTCCTACTGGGCAACACCTCTCCTGCTCGCCTGCGAATATCCATGGACGCCCTCACTAAACACCAGCCGTTCCGTCCAGAAAATCGACCTGCTCCTGCTCGCCGGCATCCGGACATTCATCGACCTGACCGAGAGCGGCGAGCTGTCGCCGTACGCACCACACTTGAGCGAGTGCGTCACTCGGCTCGGCATCGACCCGCGCGAGGTCGAGTACCACAACTTTCCCGTCCGCGACCGTTGCACGCCCGCGTCCGTCGATTTCGTGCACCGCATCATGCGCGTCCTCGCCGACAACGAGCGCCGCGGACGCATCACCGCCGTGCACTGCCGCGGCGGCATCGGTCGCACAGGCCTTGTCGTCGGCTGCTGGCTTGTCGAGTCCGGCGCAGCGCAAGACGGCCCGCAGGCGCTCTCTATCATTGCGCGCGAGTGGCAGACCGTCGAAAAGTGCAAGCGCTACCCATGCTCGCCCGAAACCGGCGGTCAGTGCGAGTTCGTGAAGAATTTCGTGCCCAGAAGCATGCCCAGCGTGGCGTGAGGGAGGCCTGGCCTGCACGTTCCGCCGTCTGCATCGATTTCTCGTGCCCCTGCGCGCTGGCCGGTGCGTGTTCCTGCCTCCACATATTCATCCCCTATGCTGACCTCGGCCCGGTCGCCGGAATTGCCTTTCCAGCGCATGCAAGCTGCTTCTCGCATCCTAGATTGCTCCGTTCCGAAGGATACGACACGACCGCTTACAGTCTAATGCTTTTTCAATCTTGTTGTATCATACCCTAGACGGTCTCGGTCGCATTTCTTGTGGTATGTGCAGTTTCCCGTACCCGTCCCGAAACCCGTCCCTGTCGCATACTTTCCTCTGGCCTTAGTATCATAGACGCATCTACCCTCTATCCCCCACCCTGCCATGCTTTTCACCTTCCGCCTACTGGACATTCCTCTCTACTCACGTCACCTCTCTCCCTACTGACGCCATCTCTCACGTACATTCTCCTCCCGGTCACCTGACTTATCCTTGTATCCGAACGCCTGCCCCGCCTGCACGCACATCCTCATTCGCTAGCTACCTATTGCTTTGCCAACCTGATCGTTGTCTTTTTTGCGAGGCTTGGACACTGACAGCGGTCAGATGCGCCGAGCTCGACGACGGGCTGTGCTTGCGGATCCCTTGGCACGACTCCTGAGGCGACAAGACTCAGGACGTGCACATCCCTGGTCAGGTTGACAAGCAGTCCCTGCGCGTAGAGCATCCCTGTTCTGAATATATGCGCGGTAGTCCTTCGAGCAGTAGCGCATCTCTTTGGCGTGCGACAGGGCCTGCGTAACGGGTCCTCGGACTGCTTGCGTATGATAGGGTGCGTGAGTGGGGCCCGGGTCGCTGCGCGCAGCGTTGTTCGTGCTGAGAATGTGGACTGGTTCAATCCAAGAGCAGCTAGCTGCGAGTGCTGTGTAGATACGTGCCTCGTCAGCAGCATGGCGCAGCTGGTATAGCGCGCAGGGCTCATAACCCTGAGGCCCCTCGATCGAAACGAGGTGCTACTATCCGTAGATCAGTTGGTTTTTGCTGGCTTAGCCAACATGAATGCTGTCTATTACTATGTAATAGCCTCCATATCGTGCACCCGCAAAATACACTACAAAGAATGGTCACACCGACCTTGTTCGTCGCTATGACTATGGTACCAGAGGCTCCCGCTAATCCTCACGAAGGGACTGTTATCGGCGCGTTGGAATTGTAAAGCGTACATACAGGCTCAGCTATGACGCGCCTCCTTCCTGGAAGAAAACACAGGACGCTCGTCTCGAAGCTCATACATGCTTGCATGCACGTCTACCTCGCCTCTCTAAATTCATTCTGCCATCACCTGATAGTGCAAAATTCACGGAACCGATTCCTCTGCCCCAGAACTGAAAATGATTTACCTGTAAGTTACCAGGCGATGTCTCCTAGACAACCCGCCAATATTGAGAGCGACGTCGACCTACACATGACCCGATCGTCATGTTGTTCCTTGCTCTCTAGATCTACGAAAGTCGCTGAATCATCCCGTGCGTAGAGTCATGCGACGGGCGCTATCCAAGACTGGCAGGGACCGAATTCCCCTTGCAGGCTTAGTAGAAAGGAAGATCGAACAAGTGTAGTGTGCGTTCTGAAGACAGTAAGTTGGCTCGAAAGGACATTCCCACGGATTAAGTAAGCATCCAGAAATGGCGCTCGTTCGCTGATCTCTGATTCTGTCTGTCCGCACCTTGCAAGCTTCTCCAGTAGCAGCAGTGCTCATTACACAGTTCAAAGGCTAGGCGCCAAGACGGCCACGTTCTTAGAGGAGAGATGGTTGTGTTCTGCGTCGCAAGCGCCTCTCACGGTGCATGACATCGTGACATCGATACTGACCTCAGCTGAACTTGAGGCGCAGAAGCGCCGGCGACGTGGCCGAACGGTCATAACGACATTAATATTTAATTTCGAGGGGCACTCAAGTTTTAGCGCTCTCAGTCACGAACCTTACGCAGCACAACTGATAGCTGCGACGTCAACTAATAACACCAGGTGCGATCAGTATCTTTCTCTCGCCGTCAGCGTACTTCGAGCTGAATGCTAGCTGGACAGAGGTTCGGACAGGGGCCACACGAACGGGCACGCTTCGGAGGTGAACTTCGCTCTTGGCATGGAACATCTCCGTGGTTACGCCGCGACAGAGCATGCATTCTGTGTTGGCCGGTTCTTGGCATACTGTCACTCTTCACCGATACATGGTTCGCGCTTATAAGAGGCCGGCGTTGGCGGGCTGTGTCCGCTTCCCTCTTCCTCATGGCTCTGGTCCTGGCTTTGGCAACCACCTTCATTTCAATCCTTCAATCTCCATTCTTGTGGCAATCAGTTCCAGACCCTCTCTTAGGAATTCAAAATGAAGGTCCAAGCGCCTCGAGTTTCGTGAACTTATTCATAGGCACTGCAAATAATGGGCATGTATTCCCAGGTGAGCCTGCTATCATTTCGCTGAGCAGTCATTAGCCCTATAAAGTTCCGAATTCACCTGTAAACCAGGGGCTACTCTCCCTCACGGGATGGTCAAAGTCGGGATGGACACAAACTCACGCAACAATGTACGCGTTCGGCCCTTCCTCTAGTCTTGATTTTCTCTTCATTTGTTACGTAGCAAGCTGGATATGATGCAGACCCAAAATACTCAGTAACCGGCTTCTCGCAACTTCATGATGATGGGACCGGCGATGTGTGTGCTTCAGGTTCACTGGTATCTTACTTCCCCTGATCGTCCTTCTGCGACTGCATATAGCGCGCGTCTCTGTCTAACTTTAAGATCTTTCCGACAGCGGGCTGCCCTGCTTTTGAGCTGTGTGAGACGTCTGTGTTTAAGAGACCTGTGCTTCGAGCCATCCTTCCAGACGGGACGCCAGACGACCTCGGGAAACCCGGTTATTTCTCAACGAATCTGGTGTGTCTGCGCACTAGGTCATGCTGACGAGTTCCAATTCACGGCTCTTGCCAGTCTACAGGTGTCCGCGCAGAGCTGACTGCCACCCGCCGAGCTTCTCTTCAGCGATATACCTTCCAGCCGGACGTGGACGGCAGTCTCCCACGGATTAATGTGGACATCACAAATGATGGCCAACGAAGTGGAAATTCGCCAACTTTGAGCATCGATCCTCTCACGGGCAGGGTGACCGGTAAGTGAGCCTTTTGGCCTTCCCTCTTTATATCCACCTTACCGTGGGTATCTTTGTTAACCCGGTATATAAGGTGGTGCAGTATTTCAGGCGTCTTTTGGCCCACGGCAGTATAAAGCGTATACATGCGTCGACTTTCGTTTGGTGTCCTCTTCCGATCCCCTCCTTCTCCGCGCCCCTCCAGCCGAATACGGCACATGGTCGAGAAACGGGCCCGTTTTGAACGAAGTTGGGAACAATCTTCGTAAGTGCGCTGTCCGTATTGCTTCTAGCAGAACGCAGATGTTCCTTCTAGTCAGCTATGGCGAAGTGGGTGCATTGCTCGGCTTCCAGCCTCCCAATACGACCGCTCCTACGACGATCTTAGTACGCTCGGGTGTGTCATTCATATCGGAAAAGCAAGCCTGTGACAACGCAGACAGCGAGATTCCCGATTTTGGTTTCGACCGTGTTGCGAGGGAAGCCCAGAAGGAATGGGACGAACTCCTCGGAAGAATACGGGTCACTCTTGGAGAAGGCCAAGAGGACACACGCGAACTTTTGTACAGCTCAGTGTGCACTGCTCACATTAATTGTTATATATGTGCTAAATACCGTAAAAGTTGTACAGGACGCACATCAGTCCAGCCGATTGTGAGTATCGACCTCTTGTACCGATATCATCCCGCCAACCGATCCTCAGACTCTGAAGAGAACCCTTTATGGAACTCAACAGAGCCTTACTATGACTCGTTCTACTGTAATGTAAGCCGTCTTTTCCATTTACCAACGGTCCAGTTGGATGCGTTTCCAGTGGGATACATATCGCACTATGTTTCCGTTGCTCGCGATGCATGATCCCGAGCGCTTCGCCCTAATCGTTCGTGGGATGATTAGCATCCAACAACACGAAGGTAGCTCGCAGTCATATGCCTTTGCAACTTTATTAACCGTTTTGGCCGTAAGGTTGGCTGCCCGAGTGCCGCGGAGCGACTAGCCTGCAATACATCCAAGGCGGCAGCGACGGAGAGCCCATAGTCGCCGAATTTTATGTCAAGTATGCATTCCCATCTGCTGCTATCACCTCCTGAATAGTCGGATGCCAGGTTCTTCGAGTACGCAGCCTCGATGAATGTTTCCTCTGAAAAAATGTACGAAGCGCTCCTAGCGGACGCGGAAAACGAACCGAAAAACGCCGATTTGCAAGGGCGCCTCGCAACCATGTGGAAAGAATATAGTCGGCTCATGTCTGCTTCGGCTAGCTTTCAAGCTGGTGACCTGTTTCTTTTCAATAGGCTACATTCCAAAGGACGGCCACACTCCTGGAGGCAGTCTGGCCCCACGCTCAGTCTCGCGAGCTTTGGAGGTACGGTGGAATTTTTGTACGTCAGTGGACGAGTGCTCAACATCCGATAGTACGCCTTTAGCGACTTTACTATTTCTCAAGTCGCGAAGTTGCTCAACCGCACAGAAGATGCAGTGAAGGTGCGGTGCCTCAAGCTCGGCACCAATCCACGCGCTGAACCTCCCTCGACCAGTATGCAGGCCGTGCTGGAAATTTCGTCAATCACTGGAACCCGGAGACTACTATGCCGGACGGTCCGTCTAGCGTGCGCGGCATGATGCAAGTTAAGTTGTCTCTTCTACTATGCTCCTACATTTCTCATTAGATCATCAGCCTCGTCTCAAGAACGGCAGCTTCTCGTATACCGATCCGCGGCACTGTAGCCCTCACGCACCACCGCGTTCCGGTACCTGTTATTTCAGTGCGGGAGATCTGACAGGGTTTTACGAAGGTTCCCCACTCCTGGTACGTTAGCTAGTCCAAAGACTGGCCTTGTTGTTGACTGTCTTCCAGTACTCTCAATACGCTCCCCACGACACGGCGAAGCTCATCGAGCTACAAGGGGGCCCGACGACATTTATTGAGCGCCTCGATTTCATCATTGATAATGTGAGCCACTTCTCAGGCTGGCCTCATCACGGCTGTTCTGAACACACTATGAACAGGACTACTTCGACGTCACGGACGAACCCGGGCAACAGGTCCCATTCATGTACCACTACGCCGATCGCCCTGGTCTCAGCACAAACCGAACCCGCCAGACGCTCGAGCTCTTCTTCAACACTACCGTTGCAGGTCTTCCCGGGAACGACGGCACGGTTGAGCGTACTGTCTCATGTCCATCGACCTGACAATACACTGTAGATTCCGGAGCGATGGGATCCTATGCGTTCTTTGTCCTCGCAGGACTCTACCCTCTGCCGGCGACGCGTCAACTACTCCTCTCTTCGCCCTACTTCCCTTCCATATCCTTCTTTAACCCTCTCTTCAACGCCAAGGCGACAATCAAAGTGACCAACTTCGAGGGTGCGAACAGCACAAAGATTTTTGTCCAAGTTCGTGCATTGCTGGCGCTAAGGAAAAGGCTTCCCAGCTGACCCCGATGACTACAGGATGTCCTTGTCGATGGGCAGCCGTGGCATTCACGATGCTTTATCGAATGGGATGTTTTTGAGCGTGGTTCGACTGTTGAAATCACGCTCACGGACGACATCACACTTCCGTGCGGGGACTCACCCAATGCTCTGCCACCGTCGCTTTCAACGGGCGGATACGACTAGACCCGCTCACCGACGCGTCTTGGCTTTTTCGGCCCGCTATGCGCACTGATGTTACCAAATATGCCACCGCTGGGCATCGCCTCAACGAAGACGCAAACAACATGTCCTCCGTGTCGGAGTGGAGCCGGGAGCTGGTCTTGGGAAGCACGGGAAGAGGGACTCAGCGCGGGCTGCTGGTCCCTCGCAATGGGATGAATCAAATCTGCATTTGCTCAGGCTTGAAGCTTGAGGTTTGGAAGAGAAGGTAA